GGGATGGGTGTGTTGGAGGCAGTGCGATCGGCACAGGATAGAGCAGGGTTTAGGGCTGTTGTACATAGAGTCACTGAGTCACAAGCGACTCAACAGCACGTAACATTTCTTGCATACAAAATTTGAATACATTGCATTTCATCATACATTGTGTTTCACACATTCATTCATTCATTCACTGTTTTATAAAATTAATCACCATTGATCTATGCCCACTTTAACACTGTCTTTTCAGAACCCCACTGGGTCTTTCCTAATTCCTTCATTCCCTCTCTGCCCATCAAACTCTTTGACTCTATGATTTCCCCTTCAGCTCCTCTCCCCCCCCCCACCTTTTCCCTTGGGATTTTTGTAACATCTTGCTAATTATCCTGTTTTTACAATAATGGCAGTATTTGTCCTTACTAGACTGAGTTAGTTCGCTCAGCAATAATGCCCTCCAGCCTCTCCTTAACTTTTTATAGCATCTGTGGAATATTTTTCTATTTTTCTTGAAAGGAATCCAGGCAGTAACAGCAAATAAGTCAGCCTTCAATACTCACGTGTTTCACATTATCAGGTTCAACCAACTGTGGGTGGAAAATGCCAGGGGGGAGGGGGTCCACTAAAGAGGAGCATAAAGTGCCATTTACATAGTGCTTACCCTGTCCTGTGTATTCTGTGTGCCTTATGTATCTAGTGCTACTATGACAGAGATGGCATTGGTGGATGGTTTTAACAAATAGAACTTACTCTCTTATAGTTTAAGCTAGAAATCCAAATGCAGCTCTCAGAGGTGCTGTCAGTTCTGGAGAAAAGGCCCGTTTCCTTCAGCATCTGTACACCTAGGACTCCCTAGAGAGCTCAACGTGTCCTGTTGTTTGCCAATGTCAAAAGAACTTCCTCCGTGCAACAATGGATGAATGAAAATCCAACTTACTGTACATTTTCATTAAAATGACAAGAACAGAACTTCCTCCAGCAGAGATCTGAATCCAGAAATATGAACTCCACTGTGACAGTTTCTTCCCCTTTCATCTCTAGCAAACAGGCCCCCTCCCAGAGAAACTTCCCTTACATGGGGTTGTTGGGGTTGTGAGGGGCATAAAGGGTGTTACATTCCATCCTTAATCCTAATTATCTGGTTTATGAGATTGTGGGGATCATTGTATAGCTTCCTGAGTATACATGTACATTCATGTTTTGTCGGGGGATACAATCCAATCCATGATTCTAGAAAATCGGGGGGGTGGGGCGTGGAACACACCACCAAACAGCCAAATGCATTGCCGTTGAGTTGGGGTCCACCCAGCTGACCCACAGGTTTCTGAGACTGTAAATGGCAAGAGGAGACTGTCCATTACAGCAGCAGAGCAGCAGTGGGTTAGGGGTTTAACTCTCTACAAACTAGGCCAACAGAGCTAGACAATCTAGACATTATTTCAAGCATACAGGAGGATGTGTGTCATTTATATGCAAATTTTACACCATTTTATATAAGGGATGAGAGTCTGTGGATTTTGGTATGAGAGGGGGAGGTCCTGGAGTCATAGACACAGATCTAAAGGAACGTAAGTAGAATTACTGTTGGAACGTAAGTAGAATTACTATTGCCCATCCTTTTTCAACTCTTCAGCCTACCTATGAAGAACTGAATCCAGAAAGCAGATACTTTACTATGCTTCTACCACTCCAGGAAAGTAGGAAGTTTTTAAAAATGCATTTATGTACACATCTGTGGTACAATAATAGAAGAGTCTGAAGGAGATGCTTCTAAAGAAACTCAAGTAATTTTATTCAAATGAAGGTAAGTAATTCAGCTCAGCTGCCATTCAGGGAACACGACGAAGATAGATCCATGGTAGCATGACCAGTCCCTTCTTTGCAGTGTTTTCATCTCAAATGTCAACTACACAATCCTGCAGGGTTCTCTCTACAGCAAGTGGTCAGAGAGGTTTAACTCTTCATCACTGAAACAAAATAGATTCTAAGTAACTTATTTAAGAATATCTAAGCCTGTTCACTAGCAATTGATCACTTGAATAAAAATTAATATTAGACTTACTTCTAAGATAGAAGTGAAATAAAACCTGAAACATGATCGTAAGAAGCGAGCAAGAGATTAGCTTTAATTAACTGAGCATATCATCCCTGAAACTGTAGCAGTTACAGGAGAATATACATAATCTAACCTTCAAGATAAAATGGATTGGAAATACAACTTAAAAAAATTTTTTTTTTAAGTTGCATAAAGGTGGTTTGCAAATCAGTTCCTGGCGAAAGCTGACAAAGACTTAATCAGCATTACTTAAGCCTCTTGGCAGGTTAAAAAAAAAAAGTAGTAAAAATACTTAGCAATAAATGGCTAAATAATAAATTGTACATAAATGCTTCCACATTAAGTAGCATCTGAAAAATAAGCTACTATTTTTCCAAATTTAAGAAATAAACATTAATACATTTCAAAAGAATATTCTTTTGGAAAAGACCAGACAAGAGATGATAAAATCGCGAGTGTGCGCTTCAAAGGGGCATATTTGTTACACTGATATCCTTTCCCTCCCTCCCTCGCTGCCATCAGATAGGAACTGGCACATAAACGACTCTCCAGTGGGTTTTCAGAAGCTATAAATCACATGGAAGGAGACTGCCCAGCTTTCTCCCATGGAGCATCTGATGGATTTGAAGCAGTGCAACTCCTTACCTACTAGGCCACCAGAGCTCCCTACACACACATTATGGCCCATAATCAGCTTGGAAAGAAATGACAAGACTCAGGTTCTTTAGTATGTCAGCATCATTTTAATCAATAAGCATATTAATGTCACATATACTTTTTTTAATATATCCTTTTTAAAATATAAATACTTTTAGAAGCTGTATTTTACAGTATATCAAGAACAGGTAGCTAACATGGGCTGTATATAGAACCATTTTGACTTTGGAAGAGAAGAAATTTGATCAGACTACTGCTAAGGTGAAAGAAAAATACCTTTTTAAATCATTCACATTCAGCAAAATAGAAATGCTTTACATATGCACTGGCTTTGAACAATGTATTTCAATTCTGTTTCAAAGCAGCTATGGCTATCTATTACCGTTTTAATGATTGCACAGTTTAACATAAAAATGCAACCCACTCAGATTTTCAATAATAAGTCTGATTAGGCAGATAACTTCCCAATCATAAAAGCTTTTATTTTAAGACAAGTGTTATGCAAATACTGCTTGGAAATCAGTCTCACTGTAATTGGGATAAAAAGACACCCATGAGAAGAACATTACGCATCTGACATCCACCCCGCATCTGACATCCACCCCGTTTTCTTGTCACACATCCCTGCCTTTGCCCTTCCTCTCTGAAGTGCTAGATTAAAGTGTATTTACACTACAAAGTTGCAAACAGACTTAATTTGAGACAACTGAGTGTCTAGAAAAGCAAGACTTTCTAGATTAAGAAAATACCAAGTATTTTCCATTTTATAGGTTTGTACAACCTGCCTTGCTAAGGGGGAGTGTTTTCTGTGAAATGTGTGCAGATGTAAGTAACTGGACATGACACTCAAAGCTAGCAGAGTCTACCACACACAACACAGGCACGAGGCAATCACAGTCACAGCAGTGATCCGAAGGGTAGCACACACACAACTCGGTATTTTGAGATCTATTCACATTATTGGTCAGAATAGAAATGTGCCAAAACTCCCTTTCCCATTCCACTTGAATTGGTTCCCCACGATAGAAATAAACATCTCCTGTGACATTAGGTTGTCATCGGCTTGCATGATTCCCAGTTCACTCAACCTTTTCTTTTTCATCTGGCCCTTCTTCGAGGAGGCAGCAACAAGTTCATTTACAATTTCACAATTGCCTTCAACTTGCTCAGAAAGGTCAGATCTTGCATACAGCTCCTGTTTACCAGCTGCACAGTGAATCAGTTCTTCTAAATCCACTTTTTCAGCTGCATCTACCTCTCCACTTGTCTGATTTCTAAGCACTTTGTTTTCTGGACAAACAAAAAAGGTGAAACAAAGTTAAATACACAAGTTATCCCCATGCACAAGCTACCCCGACTAAACTCTGTTTTTAAACCAGTTATTAGAGATCTCAAAATTTTTCAACCAAAGATTCCTACAAACTTTCAGCATAAGTATCTGAAAGAAACCATTTCCTTACTCTCATTCAGGATTAACAATTTCCAACTCCTCCTCCTTTCTAGCTTTACTGACTCACAGGCATTTTCTGGATATTTATAATGTGCTAAGCACTGTTCTAGCATCCAAAGATTAGTAATGCAGGTGTGCATCTCTTAACATCCAGGATGTGTTCTGTGAGACAGACGTTATGTGATTTGGACATTGTGCAAATACAGTATTAAATAACAAGGATGGTCCTGATACAATCAGTAACTAAATCCCCATGTTGTCATTAGGTGCCATTGAGGCGAGTAAAACTCCTAGAGACACTATAAGCTACAGATTTGAACCCTGTCCTATCCTGTGCCATCCTTATCGTCTCTGACACACTGTTGCAGTCACTGTGTCAATCCACCTTATTTTATCAAAAGCCTATTCAATCAAAGCATTATGGGAGCCTAACAAACAAAGCTCAAGAGCAGTATCCACTGGACACAGGAGGCCTGCCAGCTATACTAGGAGGCCAGGATGCAGCTATATCAGCAATTGGAGTGAGACTTTGTGCTTGTCCAAAAATTGGAGATACGGGGCAAGCCCTGACTGGGAAGAAAGGGAGGTGGCTGTGGGGATCAGACAGGTGTGTGAGTGCCAGGCGCAGGGTGGGAAGTGGCAACCGACTGCTGCTGCCTTGTGGATGAAGCTGCTGATTACATGTAGTCACTACCACCACCACTGTGAGCCAGGGGCCTGATAGCACCCACCTCGGCTAGCATGCCAGCATCCACAGCAAAAAAAGAGAGAAGCCTCGCACCAGAGAAAAAAACGGCTTCATGGCAGATGGGTGAGAAACTGAGGCGAGGAGGGGCAGGAAGAGGCTCAGATGCTTCAGGAACGGGGACCCTGTCGTTGAGTCAGAACCTACCCACAGCTGACCCTCCTGCAGGTTTTCAGAGGCAGTTAATCACATAGAGGAGCTGGCTCATCTGCTTTCCCTTTACAAATGTCCCCAAAAAAACCCTCCAAGAACCATAAAACCCCTTCAAGGATCATAGATATATATGCAGTCAGACTTTACCCAGAACGATGGAAAAACCTTAAAAGTTGCATACTTGTACTCTTATTCCTAAAGGAGCGCCCAATCTAGTAGTGAATTCATAGTATTCTCTATTCTCATGTAACAGAATTCTAAACGCCTGCATAAGCCTCCCTCTGCACTCTCACGATTTTACTGTATGGGACAAACAAATTTTTACAAATGTTAGAAATTACAGTTACTATCAGTTGACCTTAAAAGAGACTCCCATTATTTTTACTTGCTTTCTATATTCAGGTGAGCCTATCCTAGTCAATCACATGAGTTCATCAAAAGAAGAAGCACTTTAACTGGTTGCAGAAGAAGCAAAAGAGTGACTGCATGGAGAGGGAGTTTTCCATTGCTGAGATAGAGGAGGCCACAGAGGATGGAAGAGGTTCTTAGTCAACAGCCAAAAGCCGAGATCTTACTCAGTGATCCCAGGAATTGGATTCTGCTAATAACATGAATGTGCTTGGAAGCAAATTCTTCCCCATAGCTTCCAGATAAAACCCTGACCAACTGCTTTCACGCCCGGGAGACCCTGAGCAGAGTACCTAGTCAAACCTGCATGGCCTTCAGACTACAGAACTAGGCAAAACGAAAAACTCAGAGAAATAACTAGAGTAAATCCTGAGAGATGATGCGGACTGCTTGTCATCCTTAACTGACTTCCCACTTCAATGTTTAATTCTTCTGTATCACTGAGACAATCCGTAGCATTGGCTTGAAATTTACGACTTTCTCATTGAGCTTCCCCAACTTTGCTGCCAAAAAAGAAAAAAGAAAAAACCCCTACAGGAAGGCATTTATTTCTACCAATAAAAAGCAGAGCAAAATCCACTATTCCTCTCCAGAAAATGCAGCGCTAAACATGGCACATTCATTTCTCTTCTAATGACACAAAGGTTAAGTATTCAGCAAATAAAATCAGTAGCTCAAACCTACCAACTACCACACAGGAGGCTGTCTGCTCCTCCCAGAAAGACCACAGTCTACATGGAAACATTCTGTCCATGCAAATCCTCACTCCTGAGACACTGAGACCACCATCTACTGCTTGAAAGGAATCATAAAAGGAAATCAGATAGGAGAAAAACATGGGACAAAACTCAAAAAACAAAGAAAGCAGGCTCAGAAATAATTTGTAATAGCCCTTGAGGACCTTAACTTCCACAAAGCTGAGACTGGAAAAACCAAACAACTAGATGGTGTCCTGCGACCACTACAGCCTACTCTCAAAGAGATCACAAGGCAGCAGCCTGGAGAGAGCAGAGAAAATGAAGGACAAACTCAAAGTCAGAAAAAAATGTCCCAGACCACTGGTCTGGTGGGATCCCTACAAATACGGCCCTGACTCACCTTGGAAGTTCAGAACTGAACTCACCTCCCTGGCTCAATTTACAGCAAACAATAGGCAGGCCTATAAGATCAGCCAAGTATACCAGGGAGATACTCATATCTTTGAACAATTCACCACACAAGTTCAAAAGGCAGAATTTGCCAGGCGATAAAACTCAGAAGGCCGCAGAGATTGGATAGAAAGAGGAATCCAAGAGTCCTGTGACCATGTGGGGGTTGTAATCAATATGTACGAATCATTGAATGGAAAACCTTTTTTGCTCTATAATTTTACTCAAATTACAATAGAAAAACAAAAATAAAAAATGTTTGATATGCACAACCAGGCGAGCACAATTTGACAAATGAGACCTTCTGAAAATTAAGTTCCTGTGTGCATCAAAAACTTTCAAATAGGGTAAAAGAAAATCTACTAGGAAAATCCATTTGGCAACAACATCTCAGACAGGGTTTCACAACAAAAATGTACAGAATCCTACAAGAAAAAGCTTTGATAACCCAGTAACAAAATAGTCAAAAGACATGAAAAGAATTTTCAAAAAGGAAGATATTCATATAGCCAACAGACACAGTATTAAATGCTCAATATCACTGGCAATCAGAGAGGCGCAGATCAAAATCACAATGAGATATCATCTCATCCCAGTAGCAGTAGTTTAACAGGAATAAATACTCGAGAGGATGTGGGGAGAGTGGAAATCTCATGCCCTGCTGGTGGGATTGTAAAATAATTTTACCAAGCTTCTCTGACTCCACACCCAAGCATTGTGCCAATAATCCTTTTCGAGGAGGAGGAAAGATAAGAAGTCTAATAAGAACCTAATGCTGAAACAAAGCAAATACAGGGTTTGGTTTTTTTGTTGTTTTTTTGTGATTTGGGTTGTTTTTTAAAAAAAACAAAAAACTCTAAAAGATTACTAAAGAGCGTACCTTCAGGTCTATCTTGGACATTTTCTTGTAGGTCAGAGAAGATTGTAGGCTTTACCAGTACAACACCATAACCTTCATTATTATGTATGATATTATTCACCATTGTTATTTTGGGAATGTCATAATGCTCATCTAAGAAGTCCTGTGACATTGAAAGCAAACGTTTTAAGATATTGTCAGATTCAACACCGCATGCTTTAAAACTCCCACTTTTTCCCAGGCTATTCTAAAAATAAGTAGAAAAGCTCTGCTTATTAATATGATGTAGCACAGTCTGAGCACTGAGTGATACAGCATATCTGTCATTTCTACAGATGTATAGACAGTAAAACATTCTCACAAGAGACTTTCAATCATCAACTATTGATGTATTAAAATTTATACACTATTTATGCATTTCAAAATAAAATATGGCAGGACTCAACAAGGAAATCTAATAAAACATCACTTTTCTTAGATGAAGCCATTCTAATCTTTGGAAAGGATGTTTCAGCGCGTGCTCACCTTAATGAGGATCCCTTCCTTGCAATGATGGATTCCATTGTCACTCAGGGTACATTTACTCCCAGGATATATTTCTAACCCAGCACCCTACAAGTTATAAGCGTAGATATTGACAATAAACATTTAAAAGGCAAAGCTATAAGAGACATAATATCATACTTCACTTCTTACTCTTTAAAAAAGTGCACATGTACTATGCAAACAAAAAACAGCTCAAAGATAAGTGTACTAGATACTTCAAAACAATATTTCCTTTTGTTCCATTTTCAACCATTTATCACTTTCAAATTAAAACAAAACACATCAACACTTAATTCTAGTCCCATTTTCTCATTCTGAACATAATCATTGGTTCTGACTCTAAAAGAAAGGTTTAAAACACACTACTTTTAAAATATTCCATTTAACATGCAAATCCTATCTAAGAGCTAAATAATTAATGACCTCCACTACTGCATAAACGCTGAAATAACAAGCAATTCAGGTGTCTTGTTTACACAGAGTAAATATAAAAGTTTAAGCATGGCCCGTTTCTCTCACATTGACCTTCAGGAACACATGGTAACAACAAGAGTACAAGTTGTTGTTAGGGGCTATCAAGTCAACTGTGACTCACAGCAAGACTATGAACAACAACTCAAACTCCTGCCCTACCTTGTCCACAGCCTCTGGCATGCTCAAGGCTACTGTTGGATTCACTGTGTCAATCCATCTGAGGATTTTCATATCTTTCACTGACAGTCTGGTATCTTTTCCCAAGGATTGGCCCTGGCTGACAATATATTCAAAGTATGTGAGATAAAGTTTCACCATCCTTGCCTATAAGGAATACTGTGGTTGTACTTCTCTAAGACATTTATTTGGTTGTTGTTGCTATTAAGTGCTGTCGAATCAAGTACAACCATAGTCCCTTCTAAACAACACATAGGAACCCCCATCCTACCCTGGGCCATCCTCATAACCTCTGACATACTTGAGCCCATTGCTTTGTTGGTAGGCCATGGTATATTCAATACTCGCCAGCAGCACAATTCAAAGGCCTCTATTATTCCATGGTCTTTTATTCATTGTCCAGCTTTCACAAGCATATGAAGCTAAAGAAAGTATCATGGCGTGGGTCAGGCACACACTAGTCTTTAAACTGACACCTATTTTCTTTGGCCCTTTAAAGAGGTCCCTAGCAGCAGATCTGCCCACTGCAACACAGTTTTTGATTGCTCGACTGCTGCTTCATGAAGCTGACTTGTGATCCAAGCAAAATGAAATTGCTGACGATTTCAATCATTTCTCCTAAATGCTGCTGCTTATTGGACCAGTTGTGAGGATTTTTGTTTTCTTGATTTTGAGATGTAATCCACAGTAAAGGCTATAATCTTTGATCTCTCCAGCAAGTCTTCCTAGCTTCAAGTCTTCTCTACTTTCTACAAGCGCAACTGTGTCATCTGCATAAAGCAGGCTGCTGATGTGTCCTCAATAATAGAAATAATTTCTTTCCTAAAGCTATCCTACTGGTCTGTGTGTTGCTGTACAGAGGTAACTCATGGTTGCTGTGATGCTGAAGTCTGTGACAGTGATGTGCCAATCGTGGTGATGGGGACCCATGGTAGACAGTGTTGGCTGGAGCTTCCCGACTAAATCAAGCCTGGAAGCAGGAGCGGCATCCACTTCCAAAATGGCTTGCCTCCAGAAACTCTATGTACGAACAGTGCTCAGGCACTGTTGAACATAGCGTTCATAGGGTCGCTATGAGTCGTCTACGACTCGACGGCATTAAACAACAACAACAACAAAGCTATCCTAGGCACACTAGGAAGTGAGGATGATTCAATCTAACTTTTCTATTTTCAAAACTATCTGGAAAATAAAAAACAACTTCTGAGATGAAAAATTACTTTTAAGATTCATGACAGCATCGACCTGATGCTGGCAGAGTTGCTTTTCTAGGAGTGGGAGTATTAGAACGCCACACTCATAGACACATACAACACATACACACAAACATGTTCAACAGAACAATTCAATGAAATACAAAATGACCATTCATGCAAAATTTAAAAGATGAACAACTTAAGCTGGCAGCTACCTGGCAAATAGTAATAAAGCACACCAGCAGTAAAGATTTTAATATCAGAACTAAAGGACTTGACTCTAAATCTAAGAGACAAAAAGGGCATTATTCAATGATAAAAAGGATCGATTCATCAAGAAAATAAAGCAATTACAAAAATATGAGCCAAAGAGCAGAGTCCCAAAATACATGAATCAAATCTGACAGAAGCGAAGGGAGAAAAATAGAAAGCTCTACAATAAAAACTAGAGACTTCATTGCACCATTTTCAACAATGGACAGATCACCTAGAAAGAAGATCAATAAAGAAATAGAAGTCTTGAACGACACTATAACTCAACTAGCCCTAACCAATATATACAGAGCACTCCCCCAACAACTGCACAACATATATCCTTCTCTAGTGCACATGGATCATTCCCTGGAACAGTCCACATCTTAGGTCACAAAGTATGTCTTCATTAAGTTAAATAGACTGAAAACCTAAAAAAGTATTCTCTCTAATGTCAAAGGAGTTAAACTAGAAATTGAAACAGAAAGAAAACTGGAGAATGCTGCAATAACGAACCTTGTGCCATTTGGGTGTCAAATGCCGTTAACAGTTACCCATGGTGGACAGTGTTTGGTGGAGCTCCCAGTTTGAGACAGGTTTGGAAACAAGAGTGGCATCCACTTCCTAAACAACATGCCTCTGGAAACTCTGTGAACTTTGATAAATGTTGATAGTTGTAGAGGGACTTCAGGCCTTTTGTTCATAGGGTGGCTATGAGTCGTACTTGACAAGAAGGCAATCAACAACAACCAAATATACACAAATTGAACACATCAATATTAAATTACTATTATTCAAGGAAAAACTAGAAAGAAAAATCAGTAAACTCTTGGAATCAATGTGAAAGCATTTTTCAAAACTTCTGCGATGCAGCAAAAGCAGTGGTAGGAGGGAAATTTGTACTATAAACTCCTACATTAAGTAAAAAGAACACATATCAATATCTTAACAACAAAACTTGGAAAAATAGAAAAAGAAGAGCAAATCAAATGAAAAGTAATGGAAGGAAGGCAGTAATAAAGATCAAAAGTGGCAGAAAGTAAAATAGAGACTAGAAAATCAATATAATCATGAAATAACATGTCAGGAGCATTTTTTAAAAAAAATAAGATCAAAAATTTGCAAAAGCATTAGCTTGATTGACAAGTCAAGGAAGAGAAAAGATGCAATTATCTGAAATCAGGAATGAATGTGAGGACATTACAACAAAAATGATAACAATTGTATGTCAACAAATTAGACAAGCGGATGAAACGAGCACATTCCTTAGAGATGAACTTCCTGCACTGACTGAAGAGGAAACAGAAAATCTGAACGGAACAATGAGAGATTAAATAACTGATCAAAAACTTCCCAAAAAAAAGCAAAGTCCTGAACCAGAGTTTCACTGGAAACTTTACCTGATATATACAGACATTAACTCTAATCCTTCTGAAATTTTTCTTAGCAAAATAGAAAAGAATGCTTTTGCAAAGCAGTCATAGTGCTTACTATGCCTTTTATAGCTATTGTCTTTGTAACTTCTACTGCCATGAAATCAACTAGATCACACAACAATTCTATGAACAGTTTGGATCTTTGCTTTCTCCTGTGCCATCCTCATGACCTAATATGCTTACACACACCATTAAAGTCACTGTGTCAATTCATCTCCTTGACAGCCTTCCTTTCTTTCACTGACCTTTTACTATCCTCATTATGATGGTTTCTCTCCACAGATTTGCCCTTCCTGACAACATACATGCTCACATATTTTAGAAGTTTCACTATTCTTGCTTCCAAGAAGCACCCTAGTTGCCCTTCCAATAAGGAAGATTTGTTTGTTCTCTTAGCAGTTCATGGAATATTTAGTACTCCATCACCACAATTTAAAGGCATCAATTCTTATTCTGTCATTTTTAGTCATAATCCAGCTTTCAGATGCACAAGTAATTTAAATGACTATGGTTTGGATCAGGTGCACCCTAGTCTTTAAGCTGACATCATTTATCTTCAGCACTCTTAAGAGTCCCCTGACAGCAAAGTTGTTGAACAGATGTTTTCAAAGGAGGAAGCTTGAGAAGATAAAGCAAAGTATTACAATGGAAAAAGAGCTGGAGCTGGAAAATAAAATGGAAAGAACCAGCTCAGCATTTCTTAAGCTAAAGAACTAAAGAAGAAATTCAAGACTTGAGCTGGTTATGGGCAAAATACTGACTGATCCAGCAAGCATCAAAAGATGGAAGGAATACACAGAGTGACTATATTAAAAAGAACTAACACATATGAAATTTCTATGTTCAGCTTTTTGAGGAAGCATCAAATTGCCTTCCAGATTGGTGGCACCATTTTATAATCCCACCAACAATCAAAGAGTTCCTTTCTCGCCACATTCTTTCCAACATCTATTACTTGTTGCCCTGTTAAACTTTGTCACTGTTACTGGAGTGAGATGGTACCTCATTGTGGTTTTGACTTGCATCTTTTATTGCCAGTGATGTGGAGTATTTCTTCATGTGTCTGTTTGCCATTCGAATATCTTCCTCTGTGAAAATTCTTTCCATGTCGTTTGCCCATTGTGTACTTGGAACATACCCAGAGAATATGAGAACTGAGGCACAAACTGAGATTTGTACACCAACGTTCATAGCAGCATTATTCACCATCGCAAGAATATGGAAACAGCCCAAATGTCCAACCACAAATGAATGGATTGAGAAATTATGGTACATTCACACAATGGAATACTATGCAGCACACAGGAGCAATAACTTTGTATATTATTACCTGACTTGGGAGGGACTGGAGAGCATTATGCTGAGTGAATTAACTCAGTCCCACAAGGATAAATATTGTATGAAACCGTTATTGTAGAATGAGTGTAAGGATCCAGGAGGGGTGGGAGAGGCTGGAAGCAGAGGGATGTGGATGTGCAGGGGGAAGAAGGGATTAATCATTGGGTTGGACAATTTGATGGGTTGAGGGGGGGTGGGGGAAATTGAAAGAATTTGCTCAAATTTGTATTCGAACTTTGTAAATAAACTAGTAGAAAAAAATTTTTTTTAGAAAAAAATTTTTAAAAAATAAAAGAACTAACACAGAATCATTTCAGAAAATAGCTTATGATCAAGAACCAGTGGTGGTGAAGGACAAAGTTCAAGGTACACTGAAGGCACCAGCAAAAAACAAAGCTCCAGAAATTGATGGGATACCAGTTGATATGTTCCAACAAACAGATGCAGCCCTGGACACGCACTCTAGGCTGTGCTAAAAAATCTGCAAGACAGTTAGCTGGCCAACTGACTAGAAGAGAACTATATTTGTTCCCACTTATAAAAAAGTGATCCAAAAGAATCTAGAAATTATCAAATATTACATGCAAGCAACAACTTGTTGAAGATTGTTAAAACCAGCTAGAATCAACAGAGAACTGCCAGAAACCCAATGGCAACAGGGCTATCACTGCTGATGTCAGATGGCTCTTAGCTAAAAACAGAGAATGCGAAGGTTGTCTTTATTTTATTGACTACGAAAATGTATTTAACTGTATGGATCATAACACATTATATGTAACACTGAGAAGAATGGGAATTCCAGAACACTCATTGTGTGTTCATGTGAAACCTAAACCTAGACCAAGAGACTGTTGTCTGAATAGAGCAAGAGAATGTGGCATGCTTTAAAATCAATAAAGGTGTGCATCAGGGTTCTACCCTTCTCGCCAATTCAATCTGTATGCTGAACAGATCATTAAGGAAGTTAGACTTTTTGAAGAAGAATGTGGCATCAGGATTGGAAGAAGACTCATAAACAACCTTTTATTATGCAGATGACACACTTTGCTTGCTAAAAGTGAAGAAGCGTTTACTGAGAATATCAAAGACTGCAGCAGCCTTCAAGATGGATTACATCTCAACATCAAAAAAATGAAAATACTTACCAATGGCTACATCATGATAGATGAAGAAAAGATTGAAATTGTCAACCGTTTCACCTTACTTGGATCCACAATCAATATCCTTGGTACCAGCAGTCAAGAAATCAAAAGACGTACTGCATTGGGAAAGCCTACTGTCAGGTACCTCTTCAAAGTGCGAAGAACAATGATGTCAATCAACACAGAAGTTTTGGACAAAACCCAACATCATTTCATCATAAAAACATTCCACATAGTGGGAATAGAAGGGAAAGAATACCACCTGATAGACGGCACTTATGGAAAACCTACTCCTATCCTACAAAGTGGAATGACGTGGAGCTTTGTCCCTAAGAATAAGACAAGCTTGCTCACCCTCTCCATTGCTACTCAATATTGTACTGGAAGTTTTCAACAGAGCACTCACTGCCACTGAGTCAGACTCTTAGCTGAACCTCCCCTGGGTTTTCAGATGCTGTATATCAGAGGAGGATATTGCCAATCTTGCTCCTGTGAAGTGGCTAGTGGATTCCAACTACAAGAGGTGTCACCTTTGGGTAGCTGAACCTCCAGTGCGTTTTCAGATGCTGTGAATCACACAAAAGAATACTGCCTGTATTGCTCCTGTGGATTCGAACCACAAGAGATATACTTGGTCAGTAGTACAACACCATTCTATGCTACCAGAGCCCCCTTATAAACAGCAATTAGCCAAGGGGGGAAAAGCATATAAATAAGGACAAAATAAAGCTATCCCATTTCACTAATAACATGATGCTATAGGTAGAAGACCCCACAGATTTTATACAGCATTCATGAAACGTTAAAATCACAGAACAGAATAATATGTCAGCGATTAAGGAGAGAACACACTCAGCATTTTTCAAGCTGGAAGAACAGAAGCTTTGAGTTATAATACTGAAGGATTCCAGAAGCAAAATATTAGATGCAGGAAGCATCATAACATGGAAGGAATAGAATCACTGTACCAAAAAAAGCATTAGTCAATATGGAATCATTTCAAGAAGTAACATATGATCAAGAAGCAATGGTACTAAAAATAAAAGTCTTAGTTGCACTGAAAAGGCATTAGGAAAAATTAAGGCCCCAGGAATTGAAGGAATATCAATTAAAATGTTTTAGCAAACAGATGCAGCCCTGGATGTGCTCACTGGTCTGCATTAAAAAATTAGAATACTGGTGAATTGAGTGCAAGAGATTCATAATTATTTCCATTCCAGGAGAAAAAAAAATGGGTGATCCAATAGAATATAGAAATTATCAAAAAATTATCATTAATATCACATGCAAGTAAAACCTTGCAGAAAAAAAAAATGCTGAAAAATGGCTGGAACAATACATTGACAGTGAACTGCCAGAAATTCAAGCTGGATTCAGAAAAGACAAGAGTAAATGATATCATTGCTAATGTCAAATAGATCTTTGCTGAGAGCAGAGTACCAGAAAGATGTTTACCTGTGTTTTATTAACTATTCAAAAGCATGTGTTTTAAAAAGCCAAATTTACTGTCGTTAAGTCTGAACCAACTCACAGCTGATCCTCTAGGTTTCTGAGGCGGCAAACTGCACAGGAAATTGTTCATCTTTCTCCCTTGCAGCCAATCATGGGCTTGAACCAGCAGAGAAGGCTCAGCTTTGTGTTAGTGTGCAATTCCCTACAGGCTACACCACACGAGTTCCACTGAACTGTGTGGATCATAATAAATTATGGGTAACATTGAGAAGAATGAAATGGGAATCCCTGAAAACTTAACTATGCTCATTTGAGGCAGCTGTTCAAACAAAACAAAGAAGTTCTGCAAACAAATCAAGAAAGGGGAGCTTCAGGGTTGGATCCTATCTCCACAGCTATCCAATCTGCATGTTAGGCAAATAATCTTAGAAGTGGGACGATATGAAGAATGTGGTAGCAAGACTGGATGAAGACTCATCAACATCCTATGCTCTGTAGATGACATCATGTTGCTTGCAGAAAGGGAATAGGACTTGAAACTTCTGCTGTAGAAGATCTGATGATAGCCTTCCATACGGGCTATATCTCAACATCAAGAAAAGAAAAATCCTTACTGTTGAACAAACAGGCAATATCATAATAGATGGATAAAATATGAAAGTTGTCAAGGATTTAATTTGATTTGGATCCACAAGCAGTACCCATGGTAACACAGCTGTCAAGAAATCAAAAAAATTAAAAACCACCTTGCATTGGGGAAATCTGCAATGAAGGACCTCTGCAAAGTGCTAAAGAGCAAGGATGTCAGTTTAAAGACTAAGATGCACCTGATCAAAGCCATACTATTTTAAATTGCTTCCAATGTATCTGAAAATTGGACAATAAATAAAGAAGACTAAAGAATGGCCATGAAACGTGGTGTTAATGAAGAGTATTGAATAGCCCGTGATCTGCCAATAGAACAAGCAAGTCTGTCTTGGAACAAATTCAATCAAGTTGCTTCTTAGAGACAAGAGCAGTGAAATTTCATTTCACATGGGCCTATAAGGAGGGCCAATCCTTGGAAAAATGCATGCTGGGGAAAGTGGAGGGTCTGCCAAAGTGAGGAAGACCCTCAAAGATTGTCACAGTGACTTATCACAATGGATCTGAGGATAGTACCTGATAGAGTGGGTAAAATAGAAAGTTACAATCTCTGTTCATAGGGTCACTATAAATTGATTTGATGGTACCTAACAGCAACAATAAAGAGGCATCAGCAAGAGAGGAGATGGTGGTATAACTGAAAAAGCAGCATGAAGAATCCTTGTGGTGATGGAAGTGATCGGTACCTTAACTGTATCAGTAACAGCTACTATTGTAATACTAGAGCTCTGTAAGATGTTACAAATGGGAAGAACAGTAAAGGGTGTACATGTGATTTCTGCAGATGCACTTCTTCAAATGCATGTTCAGGTTTTTAAATTACTACAACCACTTCATAAAGTTATGACTTTAAGAGTCTAAGCTGAAGTCACCAGAAAACTACTTAATTTACTCTATCTTTCTAACTTGTGTTGAAAATGCAAGAACTGCCTTGTAGAACTAAGTCTGGCTGGCTAGATACATACCCCTGAACTTCTCTGAAGCAAGATTAATAGGAATATGCATTTACATCTTGGCCCAATATTTTGCTGATTTATTCAGAATGTAAACCCATACTACTTCATCCTATCATACCTTGGCACCATACAAATCTGAGTTGGTCATTAACAATTCTGCTGATGTGCGCACTGTGACTCCTGTAGTTTCACACTGCAGTACACAGTTTTCCAATGTAGTCTTGCCATGGTGAATGCCTACAAGGAAACAAACATAAGATTCACGCCTTTAGTAGTAGTATTTAATAATTTACCAGGCCCAAAATGTTAGCTGTTCAAGTTCACCAGCTTCTCCTTGAGAGAATGATAAACAATCTGCTTCTACAATGGTTTACAGACTCAGAAACCCAATGGAGGTTTTGCTTCAACGAGTAGAAATTGAATAACAGCAGTAGGTTTGGGGGCCTTCTGCAAAGTTAAAAATGGCCTTGAGCTAACAATAGATATGGTCTACATACTTATAAAACTTTTATCATCTGAATTATAAATTCATAATGTAAAAAACTATGGCTATTGAGTTATTTTCTGAAGGTTCAAGGCACCTTTCTTAAAAAAAGAATGGCACGATTTCAGAAATGCAAAATAAAGTTAAACATAACTTTTGGTTAGGAAAAAAGTTAACACACAGTAACCCTGTTGAGTATGCTGGGAGAAAAGTAACCTTTTCAAGAAAAAAAGCAGCAGATTCTAGGAAAAAATTACTAGAACAAAATGAAAAGAGAGAGGCTGAAGCCAGTCATTAATCAAACATAAAGAAAATAGACCACGATGTTTAAAAGGAAAAAGCTGATCATAGAGCAAAGAGGTCAATATTCAACCAAAACATTTTCAAGAATAGGCTGAAATATTTTGCACTTTGGAGGAAACTTCCTAAATTGTTACATTATGCACATAAATAATTAATTAAACTATAAACTTAAACTTGAGAGTGTCCTTTAAAAGTGTATTTCAGGGGAGCTCTGGTGGCCTAGTGGCAAGAAACTGTACTGCAATCCCAGAGGAACACGGTTCGAATCCACCAGACGCTCTGCCGGAGAAGGAGGCGCAATATCCTCCTGTACCAGTCAGATCTGATTTGACGGTACACACACACAAAATAATAAAAAATTAAAAAAAAAATAAAAGTGTATTTCATGAGAAGCAAAGTTTATCTTTAAAGTCTAGAACAAGTGATACACCAAATATTCAGATACTCACTTAAGATTCCTTCTATAGCCCCATGCTGAACAAATTTTATGTTTGAGATTTTAATATTGGCACCTGTACAATCCACAAAAGTGTCTCCTTTGCCTCTCTTTTCTATTACAATGTCATCTGGTAGACCATATCCTAAGGAAGAACACAAGAACAGGATGGGTGAGGGGTAACGTCTAAAGGGAAAACCAGATTTCTTTAGTTCAAGTGACGTTATATGATATTTGAGAAGAATCACTGATTGCATTTAAATATTATCTATTCTCCCCACATTTCTTGATTCATTTAAACTAGGGTATTCCATTTTTAGATAGTAACAACTCCTCTCAATTTGCCCACAAAGGAGTGACTATCCTGTGAACCATCTCCAACAAGCATAGCATTAAATTCACTTACAGAATCACTATGAAACAATAAATAAATAATTTAAATGCTCTTAGCTAAATTCAAAGGCTTTAAAAATGTGGTCTAAGGTGCCTTCCAATTCTTTGATTCTTATATATAAATAAGTTTGGGGGAAAACTAAGCATTTCTCAAGACTTTCATTTTAATATTCTCTAACTATACAACTTAAAATCTTACAGTTTAACGTAAAATAGTTTAGATATTGGAAAAAGTAACCTGCCTGATTAACAGAAATCATTGACTATATAAATCTAAATCAAACATAAAGTGCAGGGAAGGCCATTGAATGGACTTTCAAAAACTAGAGGATCAGAAAACTAGGGAACTAGCCTGATTTTCATCTTTAAATAGAACGACATAGACAAAGCTGTAAATAAGTAACTTTCACAGTCTAAAGGTAAGTCTTGACCTGAGTAAATAAAATCAGTAATTGTGTTTAACAGGCAAACCCACTAATGACAACAAAAACAGCCTTCAAGGACACTGGAGAATGCCAGAAGACTTCTTACACCACAGAACTCCCAGCATGGGCTCTGGATGATGAGATTATGAGTAATTTAAAAAAAAAAAAAAAAACCAAAACAAAAACAAAAACTCTTCTGATGTGTCTACATGCTTTTTTTGTAAATTTTCTATAATAATCCTGTTATTTTATCATCAGAAAAAGTTTTAAAAATCAAAGAATTGCCATTATAAGAAAAGAAACTGACACTACTGTATAAACTAATTATGTATTCTTAGCAGCTTGAAACATAAAACCATCAGTTAAGTAAATGGAAGTTCTAAACAAGAAAAGCTCTACTCTATAATCCATGCACACAATCATATAATCTCTTGTTGTAAATGCTATATCAGGTAAATTAAATCTTTCTCATGAACAAGTTAGGATTCCATATATTCACAGTAGAAGAGATACTATCTAATTGCTCAAATTGTCAGAAATGCCTTCTGTTTGTAAATTTACAGTCATTTTTACACTTAACGACCACAATTCAGGATGATTATTTATGACACCCTCACAATTACATTATTGTTTCCTCACCAATCTCGAAAGAATTCTTATCTGCAACACCATCTAAAATATCAATGTTATTTTCACAATGCCAAAAGTAAAGTGTTTTTATTGCAGTGTTTTCTCCTGCAGTTGTGTTATTTATATACACACATCTATATAAATCAAATATTGTAAGGAAGAAAAACAAAAATTACACACATAAAACAAAAAAGGAGTGAGATAATGTACCAGTGTGCAGCAGGAAATTAAACTCCCAGCCGTGCTTCCATTAAAAAGTTTTGACAAGATAAAGATAAAGAACATAGCTTCAGCAGTTTGTGAACAGCTGCACCAGTCTCAAAATGATATATGACTTTTTGCATTACAAGTGTTATTGCTAACGTGAAGTTGTTTTGGTAAATAGTTGAACAGGTGCATCTAAATTTGACATGATATGGAAATCCACAAGACCAAGATGAATGATTATAAAGTAACATAAATTTAGGAATAACTATGTGTATAATAAAATTATAATTAATAGAAAGTATTTATTAATAGAATCTTTCAATATTAATTTTCTTAAAAATACATTCTGGCCAAGACATAGTTAAGAATTTGTAACATTTACTAAGCTTTTAAAGAAGTAAGATGTTTATTTCTTACCAATTTCAAGTTAAATATACATCATATCCTAACAAAAACATAAGCAGTCTCCAGATTACTTATTTGCAGTCTCCAGATCTGACTTACATACAACCCCCTTGATTATTAATCAAGCTTCAAAAATTTTATTAAACATTAAGATTATCATGGATGTCAGAAGAGACTCTGAAGATTGCACTGGAGCGTAGAGAAGCCAAAGCACAAGGAAGAATTCAAGATACTAAAGAGCTGAACAGAAGATTTCAAAAGGCAGCTCGGAATGACAAAGCAAAATACTACAATGAAATGTGCGAGGAGCTAGAGTCAGAAAATCAAAAGGGCCGAACTCGCTCAGCATGTCTTAAG